CATTTGGGATGATGATCATTCTAGAAGTACATTCATCTTTAATTTTGGTATCATATAGTCTATAGGGGAGATTCACAGTCTCAAAAATGTTGTCATGGATCTTCATCAGCTACATGCATCCTCCTTTAATCGTTTTTTAATAAGAGCCATATCTGATCAATTATGCGATAAACTAGAGATCAATTTCTACTATACTCGTAAATGCAGCTACAAATTCTCAAAAATTCAGCTTCACATTACAAAATAACCAAATATCTCTAGATTGGGATGATCAGGGCTGCAGTTACTTCAAATTTGTTGAAGGTTCGAATGGATAAGCTCATCGGAATAGACTGCTTGCACGAAAGTTGAAATCCCGAAAAAACGTATTCAACTTTAAAATTTTCAGTATCGTCAACCTGACGTTCTCTGTTTTTGCGCACCAGTCAAACAGCGCCGTTCACAATTCCCATTGGTGGCGCTTGCACGTAAATCTGCGCCCACATCAGCTGCACAAGGAATTTACCTCGGTATTCGTTGTTGTCCAATTTCTCGCTATCATCATTTTAAACTCGTCAGTGAAGTCGCCTAATGAGTTCCCGTCAAAATGATCAATCTACTGTAAAATTTCAGCAATCCACAAGTATTTGAAAAAATAAAGCTTCCAAAAAAGAATTTATACAAGTGAAGGAGCCATTAGCCTTACTTCTGACAAGTCTCAAGATAAAATTGTTCCACTGTCACATTTTCGATCTCTCGATCATCGTTTTTGCATGAATGAGGAAATTTTTGCTCCCTCGGGAATCTTCTCCTGTTTCTGATTGACACATTCCAGGAGATGAAAATGGAACCCCACCGAACCGTCGTTTTTCGCAAGCTATCGCCCCAGTGATCACCACCACACCATCGCCATCGAATCAGAATCAGCCTCCGACTATCCCACCGCCAAAGCCGCCTCGTACTGACCTGGCCGTTCTTTCGAGTATTAANCTTATCATCACTTATAAGGGCATTCATTGGGTCTTGAGATTCAATTAGGTTATCACTGGAATCATCATCACTATTGTTATCTGTAATAATTATCACTAAGCTACGCATCAAACTATCCTAAATCCTGAAAACCAAAATCGATTACGGATAAACTGAGACGAACAGTTCAAGCCATTCGATCTGTTTCATCTAGTAGTGCTGATCATAAACGAAAATAGTCGATTAAGCGACTAAATAGTGTGTGCAGTAAAAGGAGAGTTACTTCACATATTTCACAAAAGAGTGTGCAGGCATGAGAAAAAGATAGAAATAAAACGCTTTTCATTCAAAAAGGAATGAGAGCGACTAGTACAGCTTTGAAAAGAACGAGAATTCATTGGAAAATGCCTGAATTCCAAGTTCTACAAACAAGTAATTGCATGTTCCATTGATTGTCGAAAGCAACTTATTCTGAAAAAGCAACTTAAATCAAAATATATGCCACTTCGAGGTCATCAAAAATGCATTTGTATTAACGAAGGAAGAATATTAATGAGTTAACACTCTCACCTAATGAATAACGGATAGAAAGAAGCGATAACTATTATTATCAATATATTCATCGCTGAACGAAAAGATAGAAATAAATAGAAATAAATAGATAGAAATAAATGTGATGAAGGCATCGTTATCATTAAGCGTTATTATTATCTGCGGACGACAAGCTTCTAGAAATTTATTTTCAGTTATTCCAGCACAACCTAGAGGAATCATTTTCGAAACCACTTATATAAACAAACTGATCGTGAGTAATTCTTCAAAGATTAATTTATACGAAGTTAAATGATGTTTTAAGAAACTCTCACCAAGTGATACTCTAAGAACATCGATTGTGCGAAGTGTTAGCGAGTATCGTACTGATCAAATGGCCGAAAACATGCGGAGGAGATTCTCGAAAAGTAAAACAACCACCAACTTTGATGTATCACCAAGTAAGATTATAACCACATATTGATCGAGCTGTATTCATTGGTTGAAAAAATCACGTTTCGTCTACAATGAATTATGACTGTAATCCGTGGATTGACATAATCTTAAGTCAAATTCAAGCACTTCAATAATTTCACAAAATCTACTGGATAGAATCGTTCAGTTTTGAAATACGACTCAATTCCGTTCGATTTCACTCGTGCTATCCAGGAAATAGGGCATTTTCAGGACTAATCCCCTAAATTTACGGATTTTTGATCAGATCATAGTGTCATTGAACTGATTGCAGATTCTGGTGTCGGTAAAGGTATGGATGAAATTGATGAAGCGCTGCGATTCGTTGAAGATAATTCGCTAAGCGAAGTGATGATTGAACTCTCTGATAAAGCACCACTTGTCCACTTACAAGAGATCTGCTCGGGGATATCTGCTGACTTGGACACTCTATCACCTGGTAGTGGATGTGAGGTGAAACGACAGACTCCTCACCTTTGATCTGCCTAAACCTTTTCTGATCAGTGCTGTTGAATTGAGGCTTTGCGAATCTCATTGAAGAAAATATCTTTCGGTTCAGTTACTCATCTAAGATATTAAGACAACGACAACACACCGAATTATTATTTCAAGCCTGCGTGGCATGATAACTCTTGATTTTCATGAGAATTTCCAACATCTCATGAGAATTGATAGATTCTCATGAGACTCGCCATCAGAATAAGCATCCAGCGGGCGTACCACCATATTTCAAGGGTGATCTGACCATCGAATCTGTTTTCATGCTCAACCCGGACAATATGGGATGGAATATGATCTGATTTTGCGATTACTCGCTAGTAAATCATTGAGAAACTGATTATGGGAAAGAAGTGATGTGTGGATTCAAGAATTTGCTCTCAGTCAAAAGAGATACAGCAGAATCATTACAGCAGACGTACCAAAGAGTTTCATCGAAATTTTCAGGTGATCTGTGAAAATTGCAATACGGTCGTGTATCGTGAAGGAACGCTCGTTGGCGTTTGCAAGTGTAAAAGGAAATCATCGTCGAGTAGCTGCAGATTCCGTATTATTCCAATTCCATCCCCACCGAAAGACCTGCCTGCTTCGCCTCAAACCGAGCCAAGTCAAACTCTCAGTCAACCGAGTCAAGTTCCTACTATACAACGAGGTTTCACACCATTTCATTTCTAAAAATGCAAGCACAAAAATCCAGTTCTTATTGAACGACATCATGTGAAAATTCCAAAACTTTCTGCTCATCATGCGTATGGTAGTCCATAGT